GATATACTGGTTGCTGCTGTGTATCTACGCGGTATGTATATCGTCGAACGATACGATTCAGTACGGAGTAGTATTACGGTAGGTGTGGTTGCGTAGTATCGGTAGGGATCTAATGTTCTCTTCCTGAGCGGTGCCATCCCTTCATCCTCTATGAGCCAGGGATGTTATTTCAGCAGCCCTAGAGATTGTGAGCAAGAGATAAAATTACAAACTACAAAACTCTCACCAGTTGCGTCAGCTCCAGCCAAAGGAAGTCATTTGACAACATTTCACTATCCTCTCCCTATTCATCTTTGACGCTCGTCCGTTCAGGCTACGTGATGGGGAAGAAATAGCTACCACCCTAGTCACACATATAATACTCGCGAGGGAGGCTGAGGATTGCTTTGAGGGTGAGTAGAGAACACAACGAGGAGGCGTTGGATATCGCAGAGGAATGGTGCAAAGTGCAGGGACGGGGCTGCACTGTGCGAAGAGGATATGTCAATGTACGGTGAATTTGGTGCTGGATTGACGTGTGCGGGGTGCGTTCCAGGTGGTAACCGGTATGGGATAAAGTAGGGTTACGACAGAGCGGTGGAAAATGTCGGATATGCCAATGAATTGGCTGCGGATAGTTGCCAGGTGTAGCTGCATTGGACGTGTGGGAGTGGGAGTAAAGATGCAAAACCTCAGGGAGGCTCGCAGGAGAGACGGAGAAGTCGTGATGAAAGTGCGAGCCGGGTCGAAGGAGGAAGATGTTGTAGAGAGTTGGGAGAGAATTCCTGAGTTGAGGACGCACCGGTTGTTGTGTTAGGGGAGAAAGTCTTCCAAACGTGGGACCCGGAGTCTTATTATTCCAGGGTGTAGTTTATTTGGCAGACGCACTTTGCTTTCTATGCGGGTCTGGGCACAAATGAGCAATAAATTGAGGCGTAGAAAAGCTTTACACTCACCGGTACCCATCATGTTTCCACAACAAGTTACATCCATCCAACCTCTACAACACTCTCCAAGTAGCTATATCCTCATCGTAAAAGCATGCCCATAGCTCTTGCTTGGGAGGATTGGTTCAGAAACCATCGACTTTGAACAAGCTAAGGTCCCGAGTTGTTTGTTCTTGAGGAGTCCATGTAGCTTCAAAATATTGAAACCCACGTACCATTCACAAGCGTCGTTATTTTGATATCGCTATATGGTATCACCTTGAGGGTCAATATTTTGACGCGGCTAATTCGGCTAAGAGCAAAATAACGCGGGCACCAAAAATTGAACGACAAACCTAAAGGTAAGCATCCAGTTAAACTAACCCTATTCCAGTTACCACTGAACTACTAAGGTACGAAAAATGCTCAATTCCTAGACCCTAACCCCTAACCGCGGGGCGTTCCCCCCCGCACCCCCCCTTAAAAATACTTTCTTATCCCCTAACCCTAACCACGGGGCGTTCCCCCCCGTGACCCCCCCCTCTAACCCTAACCCCTAACCAGAGCGCCTGCGGCGCAGTGGGTGGGGCGTACCGTCCCACACCTAACCTAAACCACTAACCTAACCTAGGCGCCTTCGGCGCTGCTGACTTTGAAGGTGTAATGGCTCAGTTAGTTGTGCACGTCACTTTGATGCTAGTATTGCGAGGTAATCCAGAATAATTTTACAGTCCGTAGTTCAATTCAGTCGCGTTGCTTTTAGTAGTTCAATATATTGAGCTTACGAAATAGTGGGACCCGTCAAAATATTGACCCTCAAGGTGATACCGTATAGTGGTATCAAAATAACGACGCTTGTGATAGCATGTGGGTTTCAAAATATTGAAGCTACATCCACTGTTGTGTTCTTGGATCTGTCCAAGTTTCTGCTTTCTTTTTCATTGCCCAAGACCTTCGCCCGGTATGTTCTACACATCCAGCCTACCAAAACAGGATTCGTTGTCGCGTTATGTATCCGGTGTTATTAAAGAGAGGCGGGAGCCATGCCGTAGAGCCCACGGAGAATGATCCAGAAGTTTATGTCGGCAGAGGTATGCGTACGAGTGTAAGGAGTGGCCTTCCGTTGATGCGGGTGTGAATAAGCGTGGATGCTGGGTGAAGTGTGGAGGTAGCTATGGCTGATTGACGCGGGGGTTACGGATTGGAGCGGAAGGCGGGGTCAAGGATGGTATCGTCGATCATGTAGCGGTGAGTGGGGTTGACTAACAACTAGGGCTTTCAGGAGGAGGCAGTGGAGTCATTGTAAAATACAGCGGCCATTCAGGATGAAGTTTCCTAGGCTGTTAGAGTACAAGTGAGTGAGATGTCGAGGGAAGCAAAAGGCTGGAACTCACCAGATAATACATCACGCTCCCGGAGAATTTCCAACCACCAATTTGCCTTGAAACTCTCGACATACATATCTTTCTCTCATATACCGCCGCTCGGAAAGTCTTCGGGGTACAAAACCCTTGCGAAGTATCGATATCGCTGAGGTTAGTCTACATGATCTTGTACCCTGGATACCGTAGTTAAATTTTGTCATCATGTGCAGGTCACGTTTCGTTACGTTTTTCAGAATATACCTTAACAGGAAATTTTAATCTTCACCTCGTCGCGCTATCACGCCCGCCTCAAGTGGGTTTTCCATGGCTATTCTTTCGACTCCTCGCCTAGATTATGACTCGATACAGGCGCCTTGACTCTCTTGTACCGGAAACTCACCTGGAAACATCTCAAATTCGGTATGCGTCGTGTCTGGAGCCTTCGGCTGGCTACGAGGAGACTCGAAGGAGAACGTGTTAGTTAGGGCAACCATTGGGGGAGAAAGGATGGTTGGCTAGTGTGTACTATTACATCGCAGTTTCTACATGCCGCTGGAGAGCTCATGGGCAGATAAAAGGTACCTGGCGACATGCTCGATGTGCAGAATACTGAGTTCACAGTGTGAGTGATGTCCATGCCTTCAAGTTGTTCTTGCTCCTTATAAGCCTTCACCAGCTCACAGAACAAATTCGATTGATATAGCCGTCCGTCCATTCAGCAAGCAACCCCATCCTAGTCCATGCACGCACAAACGCACCTATACCATCCGAACCATTCTTTTCAACGACTTGGCGGTAACCCTGATAATCCAACGTCCACGTTTATTCGCCGGTCCCTCTTTTATATGCGGCAAAGCTCGTCTCATCAACTTGCGAGATTTGATTCTGCAACTCGTATGCCGACGAAGTTACAATCTACAGATGGGTACCCTTGGAAGCTCAAACTCTTCGCGTCACTATACCCTACGAACTCTTTCAAACGACAGGCAGGATCCGGGAAATCATCTGGTCTCTTCGATGGCTTCTACCCCAACGTTCTTCGAGGTGTTATCAAGGAAACGAACAATCTATCAATAATAACAAAAAGCTAAGGAATGCAGCTGTCGGCAATGGTCCCCCTTGCTCGTTAAGGAACTCGTATGTGGGTAGACCCTTGCATGAGATTTAGACTCCTGACAAGCTTTCAGTTTCAGTTCCCTTCTTCGCTGGCGCATGGATGTGTTACAGGAGTGGTCCCCGGTCCTTCAATGAGAACCAGGGAGTCGTCCGCTGAGTGAGAGAAGAGCATTTAACGGACCCAGAGGCTCATGTTGCGCTCGTACTACGTAGAACAAGTCTGCGACGCTATGACGCATCAAGGAACAGGGAAGGGTTCTATATGACCATTGTTCATCTAGAGTGTACAAATATGTGCGCCTTGAACTCATAAGGATCCATAGTGTACTTTCCGAGGGCAAATTAGGGAAACCACTGCAAGGTGAAGAAAAAACCAATCGTGAATTGGCGAACAAGACGCTCGTGGCTGCTGCTAGCGCTGAGAGACTGGCCGCTGATTGGCTGCAGAGTGTGCATGTGCACGTGCAAAAATTTCTATAACGGGTATATTCGGCTAACTTTTTAACTACGGATAACACGCCGCGAGATTCCGCAGACTCTATACACGAGGTACGAGTGATTGAGTCTGCCTAGGGGAGACTATCGCTGAGGTCGTCATTGGTGAACAGTCCGAAAAGAGTCTCGATTTGTCATAGAGCAGATTGGGGTTAGGGTCAAATTGAGCACCATCAATTGACGCCGTCTCTTTTCCCATCACATCATGACCTCTACTTTTTTCCACCGCCTATTCCTCCTTCGCCAGCTGACCAGCGCGTCTTGGAAGCCAAGGTAAAACATGACTCTTGAATACTATAGCTATTTATACCTTTTCCAGGGACATAGTTCGAATGCACGCAGACGTTCTCTAGGGCTGCCAATGGACAGCGTGGATAGAAGTAGGTTGAATGCGTTGAAAGGTGTAAGGTGAGCCTCGGGATAATCTTCTCCTATGAACCCCGCTGAGTCTTTCCTCGTTTCAAACGGATATTCAGGACCCGCTATATTGTACTACTCCAAGTCATCTGTGCGCCAAATCAAAATCATTTATCTTCCATGCATTGTCGCGAATACGGACAAGGAAATGACTCTTTGGCCCCAATTGAAATTGTGTTTCCCCGCTGAATGTTTAACACCTAGCCCGCACCCGAAAGAGCACAGTTGATCTACCGCGCAACCTCTACCTAGCGCAACTAGGAAGCACCGAGAAATCCCCCACAAGATTCCCCTTTCAGGAACGTTTCACCCGCTCAGAGTGAATGATTCACCAGGCTCGTTTGTATGAGAAGGCAAGTACTCCAGTTCGCTGGACAGTTTTTCATTGGGCTGCTCATACTCAAATACTAACAGGATACCACACCTGTTTTGTCGTCGACGACCTCTAGGCATACAAGATGCTTCTATAAAAGTGCTCGCAAGCTTTCAATTCGAAGTACCACTGAAAGCACACCATTGATGACTCGGACTTCCTGGCATCTTCGAAGCCCCTATAGCACATGCGTTTATTCTGACTTGCATGTTCCGAAACCTTTGATGGACCAGATTAGCTCAAACATTACCCTTTCCAGTTGGATGCATTCTTCTTGCCGTCGAGATCACGAAAGCCGAAACCCCGACAAGGCCTAGAGGTTGGCTGTAAGAATGTAGCTCAGTTGGTAGAGCGTGTCACTAGTGCTCATACTTACCTGTAACGAGGTCAGTCGTTCAAGTCGGCTAGAGGGAATCCGAAAGCTCTCCTTGCTATTTGAATTTCTCGCTGGCGGGTACTGGATTGTTGGACGGGAGAGGTGTCTCTACCTCATGTAGAGTAATACAGTAGGTCTAGTTTTTGTCCTCTCCGTGGCATATTTGGAGCTCAGCGCTCAGCGCTCAGTGCTTGCACATCGCCTATGATATCTCACCAACATCTATTGCAGTGCAACACCAGCGGGTTGATCTTATAACACGGTCATTGCGGAGTTGCAACCCACAAAATCACCCTTTCCGCATGAATCTCCTATTGATCAAAGATTCCGTCCGTAACAGCGCTATTACTTTCTCCAACCAACCCATCTACGACATATCAACTCCATCACGATCCTTCCATATCGATAGCACCACGATTAAGAAGCTTTCAACTTTGGGTCATAAAAGCAGCGGGGTGCATGATATAGCTTTCATCGAGCTGCACAACTACCGGGATGATATATGTCGAGTCAGAGGAAGAGATATGGTCCCGAAAAGTGATGGATTTTCCTCGACGTAAGCTTTCATTTAGTATGTAATCTGACAGCGTATTACACCTAACGATTATCCGGTGCAGTGCAAAATCATTCAACGCATACGACGGGCAGAGATATAGCTGGAAGGTAAAATCTCACCGAGCAACTGTATGTATGTGTTCTTTATCCTTATTCACGCTCCTGACACCACTCCAGCTATACGACCAATCCAAGAATGTAATAGCCTTGTACGGACCAAGCCGCACCGGATTCATATTCGGGAAATCAACACCAGCCAAACTTTCAATCTCGCAGATGAGTACGGCGATTGCGGATGATATCGTCGTAACGTTTGTGCTCCTGGAGCAAAAAAGTAGAAATTTGAGGAAAATGCAATATATGGGAGGTGGTGCAGCTGCCGGCAGCGGAGGTGGTGGATGTAATAGCGGTGGAGGAGGCGGTGGATGTTAGCTCCAAGACCATTACTTACTTTATTCAATGGTAGGGTACCTAATGATTCACAAAGCTATTAGTATGTCCCGTCGACGAATGATACGAATCGCGAGATTAATAATATTCATCCACTCTATTGTGATAAAAATCAGCTGGGGCAGTGATATGATCGTTCTCTCGAGTTATGTCGCTAATCACTCGTCGTAGCCCCGATCTTTTCACCTTGCTTTGGATACCATGATATCGACACTGTATCATTGTCCAGTCAGAGTGAATTCTCAGAAAACATCTCAGTCTCGAACGTTGCCGAGTGTACTTACCTTCGTTCGAACACTGATCGAAGCGGGACTTGATTGTGATGTGTAGGTGTCTTTTCAAGTCCTAACTAAAACTGTCTTAGGTTCACCAAGAGTCCCCCGAGGAATTCATGAACTTCGTCATGAAGGCCCTCTTCAACTAATGACTGTGCGCATATCTTAAACGATGATCAAGCACTTTTCTAAGTTCTCCTACATGACCAACATCGGAGGACGACCCTGGATCAACGGCAGTGAAGTGCACTTACCGATCATTGACGAAGAGTGGGGCTGCTCCACTCGCGGGGTGCCGACACAATGACGCCAATGTCAGTTTCACTATACTTAAAGGTCATCGTGCTTTTGTAGTCGGATTCAATACTGAGACATGGACTTCCTACTTGACAGAGACTCCGTCAGAAATACCACCATCACGCTGCTTACCGGCCAGCCTGTATACCAAGTCTCGACACCAACACGATTAGTCCATACAGAAACTACCACCATCACAAAAATTCAAGGATATAGGTCGCACAACATGGCAACGGTAGAGGTGCACTTGGACAAAGATGACATATGTCAAGTTTGGGGCAACAATTTAACACCAAATACAAGGTGAGTGTCTCTCGACCGCGTTCAAAGGAGTTATTTCATGTTTAATAACGACTCGATAGTGCGAAATCATTCCTATCTTCAAATGGAGAATTATACGTCTGGGAGAATAAGCGAGAAAAAGGCAAAGTTGTAAGCTATCGGTCCTCCTGTTGGCACTAAAGAGTTGTATGGCTTACATACTATTCTAGTTGCGGGACAGAATCAACAATGTCCTCGCCGTTTTTGAGAAAAGTCACGGAGGCCTATTCAATGGAAGCCCCAAACAGGCCAAGTTGTCTGTATCACCCCTTGGGCTACCGATAGTTGATGAAATCATGGCTACCTTCGTACTCACGGAACAGCGAAGGAGAATGGTGGGAGATGCTACAGCCAGTCACGGTACTGTCGAGGAGGCGACGACCGAAGTTGCGGCGGCGGCGACCGAAGTTATTCTTCAAAGTGTCATAGGCGCATAATGAGGATTTTGTGTATTGACATGTAAATTTATTACTTAGTACATGACACCGATAGATAGATAGATAGATAGTCACACAACTCTGTAATTACCAAGTAATTGTACGGGGTCCCACTAGGGATAACACCGTTTCCTTCTTATTTCATCTTAATGTCTTCCTACAGTCGGCGATTCCTTCTTGGGCAAGCCCGTCTAGCCCATCAATTGATCACGCTGGAAGCTGTGTCCCGACCGATGGCGCGTCCAGTTTGCTGGTGCTATTTCAGCACTGTAACGTATCCGCCAACAAGCATCGGACCTCCTCCTTTCAAAAGATTCTGTTCGAAACTGCACTGTCACGCTCACAGTGACAGGTCATCCTCTTTATCAATTTTCGACACCATCACGAGTGTTCCATAGCGAAACCACCACAATCCAGAGGTTTCAGCGCCATGCCATTTACGACATCCCAACCATAGATTTGCACGATTTCCATGATCGGTGATATATGTCGGGTTTGGGGGCGAGATGTCGTGCTAAAGAACGACGGGAGGTATGTCTCAGACAAGTGTGGCAGTCTATACTGAATAATGAGTTTCCCTAAAAGTGCACGCTCATTTGTCAGTGCATCTGATGGTCAAAGATATACCTGGAAGATGAAATCCAGTCATGCTATGGTAGGTACGCAACTGGGTTACAATTGTGAACAAATGCTTTATGGGTTTTCAGTTACGTGGCAAATTTGATAATATTGTAGTCTTCAAAGAAAGTCACACCGGTATCTTCAGCGGTAACCGTAAGTCAAGCCAAGTTAACAATATCCCAAGCAGCGTTGTCGATCGTTGACATTGTGGCCACATTTGTTCTCATAAATCAAAAGGAGAGAGAGGCGAGAAGGGCTGCTTCTTCGGTGCTACTGCTGGAGCTGGAGCCGCAGCCGCATCATAAGTCATTCGAATTTCCAGTTATCGTGTTTACAACCTCTAACTGTTGTCTTGTCCCGTCCCATTAGTGTAGAGTGATATAGAAGCCAAGAACTTTGTCGGCGACAAGGCATGTTCGCTCCGTTTTCTCGACGCTCGAAGAGAAAATCTGAATTGATCCCAAGCTATACACACCCCATCTATTATCTACTAGTATATTTCATGTTAAAGATATCATATGCTACTCCCCGCCGAGTAAGTCGACCGAATACTTCTTTACTTTAGGTACATCGATTGAATATTCATACATAGCATTAAGGAGTACTAGTATCACTGTGCCCCGAAGCGTTCACAGGTACATCTCAGTGACTCGGATATCGGAAGACTGGACACAAGGCAGCGCGAGAAGACTGACGCGTGTATACCTTGTGCTATCTTTTGGCTTCTTCTAATCCGTATCAAGGTTGACCTGCAGCGACCATGATTCCCGTAAACGTGTGCGTTCTCTGACTATGGCAGTCGGCCGCAATTCTCGTTGCTCGTTGCTCGCGCTACAGTATATTACTCATACTCTATCGTGTCTAAACATGAAATGACGCCGCGAAAGAGAACAGTATGTATGAAGATTGTCATCCCGGTTGCTCCAAGTATTGTATATGATTCATTATTTCTATATCGTTCCCTACACTCCAAACATCAAAAATACATTAGCAAATCTCCGTTCCTCGTGCAACCGGAGCTTTACCGTGAAACTCGACCTAACATGGCCTCTCCTCCGTGCATGGAGCTTTGCGCAGCACTACACCAGTGCGAACACAGTACATTAGATCTCATTTGGAGACGTGGGGCCATAGCATATCATAGATCCCATCGCCTTCTCTGTACGCTGGTATGATACTGGGTTAGAACTATGACAATACCGAATAACGTAGCACTTACACCGATAGCACAATCTCCAAAGTATATTCTTGAACGAACGGCGTCTGGGCGACATCTCGGGATGCACATGTTGAATGACAAGGGAATGTTCCAGTATTGTGGGTGTCCGGCTGCCGTACTGAAGCTTGCGTAGGGTACTGAAAGACGAAGAGGCGTAAGAGCAGAGGTACCAATACACTTTGTAGGCTAGGCGTAAGAGAGGGGGTCAGCACTTGAAGTTCGCCTCATAACGAGGAGTACAAGTAACACACCGTAGTATAAGCCACAACTCTTGATAGAGTCGGGTCAACCGTGGACCACGCCTCTCTATGTTAATTCGAGCCCCCCACGATCTTAACGATGGCTATCCCATCACAAGGAACGAGACACTGGTCGTTCAATCGTCTCTAAAATGTCAAGGGTAGTCGTTGAGGCGTTTTGTGCAGGTAATCCGTGTACGACGGGATACTAGGCCAAAATGGCGAAACAAGAAGCTTGGATACGAAGACCACGTAGCTTTCAATCGAAAATGAGCTTGAGACAGTGTTATAAGGCTAGAGGATCGGATGCTGCGCTGGACCGTGTATCCGAGTTGGTTTTTGCGAACTGATACGCGGGTTGCCACTGTTGAGGTCTGGTTTCTGCGCCGCTGTATATCGTTGAGAGACGTGATTCGGTAGGGAGAGGTGTTACAGACGGCAGGTGCGTGGCATCGATAGGGATCTAGATGTTCTCTTCCTGTGCGGCGCCATCCCTTCAACCTCTATGAGCTATGGGTGTTGTTCCGGTGGGACTAGAGATCGTGAGCTAGAGACCAAGTTACAAACACATAAAAAGTACTCACCACTCGCGTCAGCAACCTTTTCTTCGGCCAAAGGAAGTTTTCT